TTGACAGAGAGAAGAATGTGTTCAGAGATAGGAGAAGGCTTGAACATAAAAGAATCTCTCCAGTTTTTGCTGTTTCAGTGAGTATCTAAATCAAGTGCCATCTTGTGGCCACCGGAATCCATTGTAACCATGTGTTTGAGTTGTTTTTTTTGTTTGTTTGTCTTTTTTTTTTTGTCTTTTTTTTTTCCCGTGTCCGGCAACGGATTGCAACCCTCAGTGTCGCCCCCGTACCAGACCGGGACCAGCAACGGGATCGCAGCCCTCGGCGTTGCTACCGCGCCTCGCTCAGCCAGTGAGCGGGAACCGGTCTGTACGTGGGATCCGAACCCTCGGCGGGAGCGCTGCCACACTTCCCAAGCGGCGCACTATCGCAGTGCGCCACCGGGCCAGCCCTGTTTTGTTTTTTTTTAAAGATGACCGGTAAGGGGATCTTAACCCTTGACTTGGTGTTGTCAGCACCACACTCTCCCAAGTGAGCTAACCAGCTATCCCTATTTAGGGATCCGAACCCGTGGCCTTGGTGTTGTCAGCACCACACTCTCCCAAACGAGCCACAGGCTGGCCCTAGGCGTTTGAGTTTTAATGTCTCCCTGGAGGCAGAGAGGCTGTCCAGGAGACAGCCTGGAGGCGTAGAACACAGAGTACAGTAGAAAACAAGACGTTTAGGTTTGGGTTGTGAGGATCCCATTTAGAGAGTGAGAAAGGGCAGTCAGTCCTGGTAGAAGAAGCGTGCCAACAAAGAGCTTCCTTTCTGCTGTGCACCTTCTTTTTGCAAGAACAGCCATGACCCACTAATGAAGCATCCTTCAATAGCTGGGGGGCACAAGAAGAGTTCCCTTGGTCAGGAGCCTGAGCTTCATAGAGACTGGAGTCATAGAGAGTAGTTGAGGGAATTCGACAGACCCTCTTACTCACCATGAATTGAGGCTGGTGTAGGATGCATTGGTCTGAAACGGCAAAAGTAGAGAGCCCCAGAGGCACCCAGTTTCGGCAGGTTCGGGAAGGGCAGCTAGGGGCCAATCACCCCAAGACATAGGGGATTGTCCGCAACATTGACCAAAACCTTTCCCAGATTTCAGCGCCATAATGAAAGAA